GGGGGGGGGGCGTCTTTTTCAAGACTGTAGTTTTTATCTCATTTCATGATTTCATGTTAAATTTTCTAAATTTTTATTATAATAATTTTATTTTTATAGGTTCAAGTTGTCTGCCGACTTGAACTATGTTATGTTGGCCTTCCGACCTCAAAGGTAAAATATTATTTTGAAATAAAAATAATTTTTGAAAATAACACTTTTTCATTATTTATAAAAAAGCTCCATATTCTCGCAATATCAAATATTTTATTGGGAGACTCTACGCAATTTATGGTTACCTATCTATATAAAACAAGACATTCATATATATGCTGCTTGTAGCCGGCCAAACGGCTGGACCGAAGGGCTAACATTTTTTGTGGCTGGGGTTGTGCTAAAAAAACGAATTTTTTTTTCTTCAAAATTTGGTTTTTTTCCACGGGCAACGCCGGGCCCTTCAGCTTAGTCATCGTTAAAATACTCTTAAGAAATTCCCAATGTTTCATTATAATCTTATTTCTAAGAAATCTTTTGTTTTTCTTTCGAAAAAGTTCAAAGGTTTAGAAACTTATGGCAAATATAATTTTATATTGGCTGTTCTTCAAATATATCTATAGAAATCGCTATATTTCTAAAAACTATATTTTGTTATTGGTTACAAAATTTGCAATGGGTATACAATGGACAAAAAAGGTTCAAAACTTTTGGCACACATTATTCAATATTGGCCTTACCTTAGATAAATGTATTATGAATAATCGTGATATTTAAAAAAAATTCGTAAGAAGACTTTTTTGTGGTTTTTAACGAATGACGAGTTGTCTTTTAAAGGAATTCTTGAGTATGAGCAACATCGACTAACAAAAATTTAACTTATCTTTTCTTCAAAAATAACAATTTTTCTTTAAAATCTAATTTTTTTCAAATCGAATTTTTTCTTCAAAATTAGATTTTTTAAAATTCCACTGTTAACGCCGGGCACTTCAGCATTAGTATATATTTATGATACACTGTGTCCAAAAACGTTGAGAAGGCTCAAATCAATAGTATTTTAGTTTTATGTAAATTAAGGATTTTTAATATATTAGGTTGTTTCGGCACAGTTTTCTGGCTCAGTATGACATCTACAATATCAAAACAAGAAAGTAAGTTTTTTTTTGCTTTTGAAAAGAATTAAATAGATAAATAAATTACAAGAACATGGCACAACTCGTGTTTGAAAAATCTTAAAGCCCTTTTTATAAGTTATCAGAGTCAGACCCTTTTCCAATTTTTTTTTCAAAATATTGTTGAGACTTTTCTGGAGTCTGAACCCAATGTAAAGAGACAAAATTAAACTGAACATTTTTGATGATGTTCAGTTTTTGCCAAGTGGCAACACAATTTGTTCATAAAAGATGTATGATTAGTTTTTTTGATTCGCTAATCCTAATATTTAAAGGGGCTGTAAAAGAAAAATGAAAGGCGGTATAGGATGAAACCTGAGAAATTCAGGCGTTGAACGATACATATAAGACATCTAGAATTAACTGTGAAATGTTTTCAACACGCAATATAACATGCTCCCCTCCCCCTTCATACATTCATCATAAATATAGAGGGGGGGGAGGCATTCTAACATTTTTAACATAAAACATCAAAACCTTTAGGTTCCATGTTTTGGACACCTTTTGTACGCAATACGCATCTAATGGGATAAACAAAGTACTCAATCATGTTTCTGACACGGAGGCTAAATATGTATATGGAGACATAAATAGACACTTATGGAAAGACAGATAGACAGATAGACATATAGACAGATAGACATATAGACAGATAGACATATAGACAGATAGACAAATAGACAGATAGACATATAGACAGATAGACAGATAGACAGATAGACATATAGACAGATAGACATATAGACAGATAGACATATTGACAGATAGACATATAGAAAGATAGACAGATAGACAGATAGATATCGAGACAGACAGATAGACAGTTAGACAGTTAGACAGTTAGACAGTTAGACAGTTAGACAGTTAGACAGTTAGAAATTTCAAAAATTGCAATTTTTTAAAATTATTGAAAATTGAAAAATATTGAAATATTATTCAAAAATGACTCAAACTAAGCATAGTGCATTTTTTTCTTGTTTAAATTAAGTGTTTAATTAAAATTTATTTGAACTACAAATTTAGGGTTTGAAGTTTTTGGCTAATTGATTGATCAAATGATAACTTGATTTAATACATTGATTAATTGATTTTAACTGATTGGCTAATTTTTTATTTGATTGATAACTTGACATGATTGGGTAATTGATTTGGTGGATTTATCGGTTTGATTAATTAATTGATTTGATAGATTAATCGACGTGATTGATTTATTGATTTTATTGATTAATCGGTTTGATTGATTTATTGATTTGATTGTTTAATTGATTTGATTGATAAATCGGTTTGATTTATTAATCGATTTGATTGATAAATTGATTTGGTTTATTAATTGATTTGATTGATTAAGGTTGGTGAAACTTCAGCCAGATCTGGATGAATTGATCAGGAGTCTCGGAGGAAACCCAGATGAGATTGGAGGCCCTGGAGGTGGTCCAGGAGGTCCCCCTGGAGGTCCCCCCGGAGGAGGTCCAGGAGGTCCCCCACCCGGCCCCCCTCCCCAACTGCCGGTATAACTTTTTCTAAAAATTTTTAAATCTTATTCTGAAAGCTAATTGCAAACTGGTAGTGCAGGCTACAAACAAACCATCCGGCATTTTAAGAGTGCCCTGAACGATTCACAATCCTTATATGATGAAAAATGGCGAAGATATTTTCCTTTCTTTGTATCGAAGAAATCCACGAGACGTTGCAGAAAATTAATTTTAAATGGAAAAACTGACAAAGCCTAAATACTAATAATTTATCTACTGAATTGATTTTGTAAGTTTGTTGACATTTGATATTGTCTTAAATTGTTAACTGACATTTTTGATTTTCATTGAAGAATTTTTTAATTTAACAGTTTGATATATTTCACAAAGATCAAACAAAGAATAATGTGTTACGCATGAAGGGACTACCTTCAAAGATTACAAACCTTCAAAGATTACAAACCTTCAAAGATTACAACGATACGTTCAAAGATTACAACGATCACTTTAAAGATTACACCGATACCTTTATAGATTACAAGGATACCTTTATAGATTACAACGATACCTTTATAGATTACAACGATATCTTTATAGATTACAACGATATCTTTATAGATTACAAGTACAACGATACCTTTATAGATTACAATGATACCTTCAAAGACTACAAAGATACATTCAAAGATTACAAACCTTTAAAGATTAAAATGATACATTCAAAGATTACAAACCTTCAAAGATTACAACGACACCTTTAAAGATTACTACGATACCTTTAGAGATTACAACGATACCTTTATAGATTACAACGATACCTTTAAAGATTACAACGATACCTTTAGAGATTACAACGATACCTTTAGAGATTACAACGATACCTTTAGAGATTACAACGATACCTTCAAAGATTACAACAATACCTTTAAAGATAACAACGATACCTTTAAAGATGACAACGATACCTTTAAAGAAAACAACAATACCTGTAGAGATTACAACGATACCTTTATAGATTACGACAATACCTTAGATTACAACGATACCATTTAAACTGTTTTCAAAGTAGACGTTATGGGAAAATTTAGATTTTTCTGCCTAAAAAATTCATGATTTTAAAATTGCGGTTCCTCTTGCGGTATTATGCAACAGACATAACTGACAGAAATCAATTCAAGATAGAAAAACGATGATATCTTCCTAAGAAAAAATATTAAAGTCTGTCTACTTTTGGTATTCGGGCATTACCTGGGTCACTTGAAATTACTTCTACAGTCTTTTCAACTTTTTATAAAACTCTCACTCAAGGATGTAGAATAAGGTCAGACACTCTGGATTCGCTCCTATGGTAGGACAAGAGAACCTTTATAGCTCTCCTTATTTTTAGAGAATAATAACTTTTTTGCGACTCACTAAACATAAACGAACTCAAAAATTGAAAACTTGAATTATAATTCCATTTTTTTTAGATTCATGCTTGTTAGAACAATCAATATTTTTAAAATTATGATGCTTCAGCTAAGTATCAGTGACGTCATGAGTCTCCATCTCAAATAAAGACGACATTTACCATACATTGGAGCGTATCCAAAATATCCAACCTTATATACAACCTTGCTCTTACTTTTGTTTATCTATTAATTGATTGATTAAATAAATATTTAGCTTGAGTTTGCTATGTGGGGTCCAGTAGGATCTAGTCTTGTTTACGTTTTTGGAGCTAACATTTACTATAGGTAACTAGCATTAATTCATTCATACATCCTTTCTTAAACATTTACTATAGCTAACTAGCATTCATTCATTCATACATCCTTCCTTAAACATTTACTATAGGTAACTAGCATTCATTCATTTATACATCCTTCCTGAAACATATACTATAGGTAACTAGCATTCATTCATTCATACATCCTTCCTTAAACATTTACTATAGGTAACTAGCATTCATTCATACATAAATCCTTCCTTAAACATTTACTTCTAGTAAAGAGCAATTATTAATTTATTTCTTTATTACGAGCATTTATTCATTTATTCATAAACACTTAATTCATTCATACATTTATAAACACTTCAACAAGTAACAATGAAATTTGTTCATTCATTTATTCATTCATTCATTCATTGATATTGTTCCTTCCTTCCATTTAATAGTTAAAATACAATGTATGTAGCTAGTATTCTTTGTCATCCTTAGCTTAATTTACAGTACATGCATTAAGATTCATGTTTATGAATTCATTCATTAATTCATTAATTCATTCATTCATTCATTCATTCATTCATTCATTCATTCACCTATTCACCTATTCATGTATTCATTCATTTATTCATTTATTTGTTTATTCATTTATAGGTTCAAATATTAAATTCTAATCTAGGGAAACCCCGGAGTCCCCTGATGTGATGGTGTCTATCACTGGACGTCCTGGAGTTGTCTTCAACGGTAAGAAGTATAAAAAATATTGTTTGTCCTTCATAGTCTAATTTATGACACCCCCCCTCCCTCCCTCATTGAAAAAGTACTTTTGTTAAGAAATATAATATTAGTAGTTTAGAAAAAAGCTTAAGATTAGTTAATACAGAGACATCTAGTTACTATCACAGAGACACTTTGTAACTGTTTTACGAACTACGTGGAGGACACCTTGTAATCATTTTATGAAGTATACAGAGACATCTAGCTACTTTTTTATATTATACACAGAGGCATTGTAAATATATTATTGAACACCACAGCAGTGTATAAAGACTAATTTATCAACTACATCTAGTGGTTACTTTATGAATTACAAAGAGACATCTAGTGACTAATTTATCAACTACATCTAGTGGTTACTTTATGAATTACAAAACGACACCTAGTGACTAATTTATCAACTACATCTAGTGGTTACTTTATGAATTACAAAGAGACACCTAGTGACTAATTTATCAACTACATCTAGTTGTTACTTTATGAATTACAAAGAGACACCTAGTGACTAATTTATGTACTGCACAGGTGTGGCTGACTGGGTTTACGAGGAAGAAGTTCTAAGTGATACAAGGGCTATCTGGTTTTCTCCCAACGGAGATAAGGTAGGAGAAGGGTTGACAACATGTCGACTGCAACTTAAATTGTCGATTGGTACTATTTAAGGTTGATTTTATTATGGCTGACACCCATACAAAACGAAACTGATTCTGAAAATTATGAAAATTTTTAAAATTTTATATTTTCTGTTGACTACTTCTTTTTGTGAAAAAGTGTGTTGTTGTATAAGTGTATGGAAATAGTTGTATTATTGTTGTTATCGTTATCGTTATCGTTATCGTTATTGTTGATGTTATCGTTATCGTTATCATTATTGTTATCTTTATCGTTATCATTATCGTTATCTTTATCATTATCGTTATCATTATCGTTATCATTATCATTATCATTATCATTATAAAATTACAGAGAAATAAGATATGATCCCCCCACATGATAGGATTAAACTTCTAATCGTCATTCAGAATGACCCTGTAATAAAAAGAGTTACTTAATTATTCACCTAATTATTTAAAGGGATTCTTCATCTAATTGTTTAAAGGGATTGTTCACTTAATTGTTTAAAGGGATTTTTCACCTAATTATTTAAAGGGATTGTTCATCTAAATAATTAAAGGGATTGTAAATCTAACTGTTTAAAGGAATTGTTCATCTAATAATTTAAAGGAATTGTTAATCTAATTGTTTAAAGGAATTGTTCACCAAATTATTTAAAGGGATTGTAAATCTAATTGTTTAAGGTATCCTAAGCCTGGTCGAACCAACCCTGGTGTAAAGGTTTACTCTGCCCCTGTCCGTAGTATCAGCCGTACCCCCAGGTAACAATTAAATTAAATAAAAATAATAAAATAACTTGATTATTTTAAACTTATTGTAAAATTGAATTTCATTGACAACAGTTATTTTTAGCATGTTGGTGGGGGGGGGGGGTTGTAAAAACAACATTTTTTGATTAAGTCCATATTTTGCATACCTTTTGACCATTTTTAAATTTTCAAGCATTTTTGGGGTAATTATTTTGGGCCCCCAAGTGTGTTCAGGTTTTTTTTAAAAACAGATTCTGATGTGGTTGGATCCCTAATCTTCTATGTCTAGACCCGTGTCGGTGGATCCCTGATCCCTATCCTATTTCTAGATCTATTTGGTTGGATCCCTAAACCCTCTCTACGTATAGATCTATGAGACTGGATCCCTAATTCCTATTCTATGTCTAGAACTATGTGGTTGGATCCCTAATCCCTATTCTATGTTTAGATCTATGTGGTTGGATCCCTAATCCCTATTATATGTCTAGATCCATGTGGATTTATCCCTAATCTCTATTCTATTCCTAGATCTATGAGACTGGATCCCTAATCCCTATTCTATGTCTAGATCAATAAGACTGGATCCCTAATCCTTTTTCTATTCCTAGATCTATGATACTGGATCCCTAATCTCTATTCTATGTATTGATCTATGAGACTGGATCCCTAATCCCTATTCTATGAATAGATCTATGAGATTGTATTCCTTAATCCCTATTCTATGTATAGATCTATGAGACTGGATCCCTAATCCCTATTCTATGTCTAGATATATGAGACTGGATCCCTAATCCCTTTTCTATGTATAGATCTATGAGACTGGATCCCTAATCCCTATTCTATGTCTAGATCAATAAGACTGGATCCCTAATCCTTTTTCTATTCCTAGATCTATGAGACTTGATCCCTAACCCCTATTCTATGTCTAGATCTATGAGGCTGGATCCCCCCAGCTATTTCAATGATAGAGAGAGGATTATCTACGCAGTTACCTGGGCTTCAGATTCGGAGGTATTATATACTTGTAACACAAATATAACAACCCTTCCCTGTAAATAAAAAACCTTTCCTGTAATAAATCCACCTTTCCCTGTCAATAATTAGCCTTTTCCCTTTCAATAAATAGCCTTTTCCTGCTTTCCCTGTCACCTGTCACCTTTCCCTGTCAATAGGAAACTATTCCCTGACTGAGTCCTAAACGCTATTTACTTTTAGTATTTATTCAAATAACCATTCCCTGTCAGTAAACAACCTTTCCCATTCAACCCATTTATCAATCCCAACAATCCATCGATCCATGTCTATGCATTTATAACATCTACTATCTATCTACGTCTATCCATCTAGGACATCCACTATCTATCTATCCATTTGTCTATCTATAACATCTACCATCTATCACTCTATCACATCTATCACATCTATCTATCTGCCCATCTATCCGTCTATCTATCGATATCTATCTATATATCTGTCTATTTATCTATCTATACATTTCATCCTTAATTATCAAGGTTTCTTTAACTTGGGAGAACAGACATCAGAACTATTCAGTAGTTAATATTTGCGATGTCGGAGGATCATCTCCTGATTGTCAGGTTAGTTCAGTATCATTATTATTAATAGAATCATTATCAAATTAATATTTGCGATGTCGGAGGATCATCTCCTGATTGTCAGGTTAGTTCAGTATCATTATTATTAATAGAATCATTATCAAATTAAATCATGTTCAGAACATTTTTCTAAATATCAGTTAAAGCATTGATATTTTTGTTATAATTGTGCAAGAAGTATCATCATCATCATTGTCATTATCAATCACCAAATTCACGTTTATTGATATGAAAATTTATTTATTAGTATTATCATTGTTAGATAAATCATTTTTTGATTTAAAACATGAATTATCAGTGAAATTATTTTAATTATCAGTTTAATCGTTGGGTGATAAGTATCATCATTATCGGCGTAATCATTGTTTTATTTTCAAACTTATAATCCGAGGCATTATTATTTATATTTTAATTTTCATTTTATTTGCGATCCGTTTTATTATTTAGGATGCTCTAGTGATGACCTCTCCTAAAGGCTGGCTGGAGCTGGAGGAAGCTCCTGTTTATACAGAGGTAAACAGTACAGTATAGTACAGTACAGTACAGTACAGTACAGTACAGTACAGTACAGTACAGTACAGTGCAGCACAATTACGTAAAGTTCCCTGCTTAAATGTGTTACCTGTTAAAAAAGCTTAAATGAATACAGTGGTGACTTGAAAACAGTGGAACGACTGCCGTCTTCTATATTTATTTTATTTGAAATCTCACTCAGGATTTAGTATTTTGTAAGCAGTGTTTTTTCAATTATGTGCCCTAATTATTTATATATATAAAATCAGTTGCATTATTTATAACTGCAACATTTTGATTAAAAGAAAGACCGAAGACGACATTAATTGTAATTCCAAACCTTCCTCATTTATAAAACTTGATTGACCGTGTCTAATTCACTAATTAAACCCCCCGTTTACAATTATCCTCGCGCATAAATTTCAACACTAGGTGCAAATTTTATTCAAAATGCAGAAATTTAAATATTTCTTGTTTTGTCAAATTATGGGTATCATTCGTTCCGTATCAATCAATGACACATTTCTCATAAATATAAATATATACTTTTCTTTTAACCTTATACTCAACAAATATCCTTTTCTTTAGTCTTAACTTAAACTTCTCGGGGAAAAAAATAACCGTAGCCAAAAAAATCTAACAATAAAAAGTCACATTCATCTGTAAAAAATAAGTCCTTGTTGTGCGCTTCAATTCCGTTTTC